TTTTTTTTTTTTTTTTTGGTACCGGGCATCAAACTCAGGACCTTGTGCTTGCAAGGCAGGCGCGGTGCCACTGAGCTAAATCCTGGGCCTGTCTGTTTCTAATTCTGAGACAGGGTCTCACACTAACCTGGCCAGGCGGTACCCTCCTCCTGTTTCAGCCTCCCAAAGTGCTGGGGTTAGAGGTGTGCACCACTGAGCCCCCCCCAGACTCTTTCTTAAGGCTGGTAGCTGTGGTCCTTTGTGTCCATTAGGAAGGACAGAGTCAGACTGCAGGATGCACTGCCTAAAAGTGGAGAAGCCAAGTGAAGGAACGAGGACCCTCTCTTTGGGACTTAGAGAACCAAACACTGTCCCCTCCTGAACCTCTTCCTGTCATCTCCCCGCAGTCACCTGCAGGTGCTCACGAACTCCCCTCCCCGCTCTTCTCCCCTCCCCCAGGCCCTCCTCCGCCTCCCGGGGCTCTTCGGCTGGGTGAAAACAGAAAGAGGGGTCCATATACATGCCAGGGCATTTGTTTGTTTTTGACACAGAATCTGGATATGTAGCCAGGCTGGCCTCCGCCTCATGCGATCCTCCTGCCTCAGCCTCCGGAGTGCTGGTATGACACGTGTGTGTGGGCCACCACACCTGGCCCTCCCAGGGAGCATTGGCCAGATCAGGAGTGCGGAGCTGAACCCTGATGCAGGGCCCAGCCCCTTTCTGGGAATGGGGTGGGAGAAAAACGTGGGGCTTTGGCTCCCTAATCACAGCTGCATGGCCCAACTCTCAATCCTCAGCTTTCTCATCTGTCAAATGGGCTGGCAGCCCCTGCCCTGCAGTGGCGAGTGAGCCAGAGACACCTGTCTCAGAGGCATGCGTGTGCACGTGTTTGTGTGTGTGAGACAAGGTCTCACTCTGCAGTTCAGACTGGCTTTGAATTCACTAATGTAACCCTGGCTGTCTTCAAACTTGCAGCAATCCTCCTGCCTCAGCCTCCCGAGTGGCGAGACCACAGGTGTGCACCACCGTGCCTGGCAGCTTTCACCTGGACCAGGCCTGAGGCTGCCTCACCCCCTTCCTATCTCTGGTGTCTCTGCCCTTGCCAAAATTCTTTCTATAAAGCTCAGTGGACTGCCGAAAATTCCTCCGAGTCCCCCGATGCCTGTGAGGACAGTGCGAGCTCTGGCGTCCGGGCCTGCAGTTTGGCTCTGACTCTGTCTCTCTGAGCCAAGTTACTGAGCACGTTCGAGCGTCAGGTGACTCATCTGAAACACGGGGCAACCGGGTGGCTTCTCCCACTTATGGCACAAAGAACAAGGGGCCGAGAGCGAGCCTTTGGCCCAGGGAGAGGCTGGCTGTGCCTGGTATTATTTGCGGTGCTGGGATCGAACCTGGGGCCTGGCACGCACTGGGCAACATTCTACACCGAGATGCATCCCCGCCCCGCGCCTGCTGTCACACACGCTTCGCTGGCAGGAGCGCAGGAGGCAGACAAGAGGAAGGACTTCCCAGCTTTCCTCAAAGCCTGTCCTCCGCGTCCTCACAGGAGCAGCGTGACACTCGCCAATGGTTACTCACGGCCGCGTGCTGAGACTCCTTCCTGTGACCTTGCTCCTGCCCATCAGCCAGGGCCCCGTCCTGCCCCACGACCCAGCTAGGCCGCCTCTCCTGATCCGGAAACTGGGTGTGATGACAGCGCTTTCTGAGCAGGCTGCCGGGAGGGAGCCGTGGGGAAAGACTCGGCTCCTGCCCTGGATGCGAGTGGACACCTGGGAATGACCCCTCGGGCCTCTCTCGCCTTTCGGGGCAGGGCTCTGTCTACACCGCCATCTCTCCTCCAGGCTGTGTGGTCTGGGGTTAGGGAAAAGGCTGGCACAGGGTTTACACTGGGCCTCCCTGCTGGACAGCCCGCCATGAACACTAGTTTTCAAATTAATTACTATTTTGAGATGGGGTCTCACTGTGTAGTTCATACGGACCTGGAACTCACTATGTAGCCCAGGCTGGCCTCGCACTCCCAGCGATCTGCCTGCCTCAGCCTCCCGAGTGCTGGGGTCATTGGACTGCACCGCCACACCTGGCCAGGAGCCTTCCCCTTTTACAGATGAAGAATCTGAGATACAGAGGTTGATGCCTCAGGGCCATGGCACTCTTGGCCCAGCTGAGTCCACAACCCCTCCGGGCTCCACGTGGTGAGGGGATCACCCCACCCCTCGGTGTGGCTCGTGGACTGTGTTCTGGTGACAGAGGGGCTTGTGCTTCTGTGAGCTGGGCAATGCTCTGTTGGAGATAGAAACAGCTCTTCTGGGGTGACTCCAACGCCTGGCTGTCCCCTCAGCCCTCTCCTGGGGCTGCCGGGCATCCAGGGCCAGCACAGCCACCACCCTTCCCTGGGGGTGGACGCCCCCCCATGCTGGGAGACAACGGCGGAGGGGCAGCCCCTGGTGGGGGTCAGGCCACTTCACCTCCGGGCTGGGGACTCCTGGACACTGCAGGCAGGGGCCGGGGAGGTGAGAGTCTGAAACAGGCTTTAGGGAGCGTTTCCTCCAAATGTAGATTTGAGCTCCTATTAAACTTGCCAAAAATTTGTGTTAGCTAATGGATTCTTAATTCTGTCTAAAATGAGAGAGGGAAAATTATGCCATTCATCTTGTATTGGTTTGAAATTACATCTGACACCTAATCGATCATACTGTGGAACATTAACTCTTTGGAAGAGACCCAACTTTTCCTCTCTCCCTTGCTTTCCAGGGCTCTGGAGCCGCCCCCCAGCTCTGATTCCTCCTTTTGTATTTCATTAACTAAGCAAAGCCCGGGCTGTCTCTGGGGTGAGAGGTGGTGTGGGGGAGGTGCCTCCAAGTGGAGGGAGACAGCCAAGGCCCCCATCCCTGGCCATAACCAGACCCCTACTTCCAGCCTTCAAGTGACCTCCGCTCCTGTCTGCTTTGCCCAAACACTCAGAAATGTGGAGGAGCAGAAAGCAGGCTCTGGGGTGTGGGTGACCTCAGAGCCACCTTGGGGCACGGGGGTGGGGGGACAGGCAGGGCTGAGCTGGCACCTGGGGCCGGGGCCATGGCGGGGCCTCACCTGCGACTTGCCTGGCAGATGGGTGAGGAGGAGGAGGGCAGATGACAAGACTCCCTGTGGGGATCTGAGAGCTCTGACTGGAACCCCAACTCCAGACTTGCTTTCCGGCAGGGGCAGTGAGAACCCAGAGGCCGCCAGGTTGGGCTGGGATCCGACTTCCGACTTCCGTCCTGACAAGGCCCTGTGTGACCTTGGCCAAGCTGCAGAATGCCTGAGTCTCAGGCTCCTCCTCAGTCAGAGCAGAAAGACAGCCTGGGTGGGGACAGAGGGCCACAGTCCAGGTGACAGTGGGATGGAGCCCATCCCCCGGCACAGTACAGGGCAGGTGAGGGGCACAGAGGGCCAGGGCTTCCTCCCGAGGGTGTCAGCACGGGGGAGCTCCCTGCCCATGAGGTGAGGTCTCCCGAGGAAGGGTGTCTAGGGAAGGACCAGGGAGAGGGCTTCCACTTGGCAGCTCTAACTCCATTTGGGGAATCCAAAGGCCTCCCCCAGCCTCATTTTGAGTATCTCATTTAAATTTTATTGCTCCGCGTTTGCAATACATGTGATTACATTCCTTGGGAGGAGCTGGTGCACAGAACACACCTCTATTAAATGTATTCTTTTTTCTGGTACCGGGGATCAAACTCAGACCTCGCGCTTGCCAGGCAGGCGTGGCACCACTGAGCCACATCCCAGTCCTGTCTCTATTCTTTTTACTCCTCATCCCCTTCTCATTTGGCCACTTTACCGGGGAGGTTGGGTGGCTGAGCACGGACTGCGCTCGGTCTCTCAAAAGCAAAGGATGGCCAAGGGTGCAGGTGAGGAGGGGGTGCAGGGCCATCGCCCAGGCGGTGTGGTGGCTCCCTGAGTGTGGCTTGGGACACTATGGAAGAGGGTCCTTTGAGAAGGGGTAGCCACTAAGGAGACGTGGCAGGCAGTGGCCCCTGGTGCAGGACACAAGAGGGAGCCCGGGCCCCAGGACTGGAGACCCCACAGCCTCTGCAGCTGTCCTGTGGACCCTCAACTCCCCAGACCCACAAGTGCGAGGCCAAGGCCAGTCTGGGTTGAGCCAGTCAAGGTCATGCAAGGAGCCCTGAGCTCCTGTGGGGCGTCCCCCCCAAGGGCAGGAAGGCGTGGCCTGTGGAGGAGCCCCGGGAGGGTGGGGTGATCTCATCTGGAACCCTCACTTTACAAAATATCCTAGGCCTGGGAGAGGGGGTGCCATAGGCGGGGTGACAGGGGAGACAGAGGAGCCCGAAGTGGGGTGTCTGACTCTGGGCCCAGGGCTCTGCCCCTCTAGCTGCACCCAGAACCCGAAGACCACTTTCTGGGTTACCTCCTGGGCCCAGCAGAGCCCAAGTCGGGGAGCAGTGAGGAGAGGCACTGAGAGAGGCTTCCCCGAGGACACAGGAGTCGGGGCGAGGAGGTTTCTCAGGTCCTCTCCCACCCAACACACGAGAAGCACACAACACAGGCAGGAGTTTTATTTCCAAATGTCTCTGCTCCTGGAGTTTGCTGTTTCCCAGGAGACAGCTGGTGGAGGTGCCCCTTCCTGCCAGCCTCCTTGGCAGCCACTAGGCGGCTGTGGCTTCCTCTTCTGCCTGGAGACGCCACAGTGAGGGGCCCACGTGGCTTGTATTAACAGGAAGTGGTGCTGAGGGGCTGAGGACAGGGCAGCCCGTGGGATGGCCGGTGGGGAGACTGAGGCAGCCGAGCACAGGGCCACACTGGCCAAGAGTCTGTGCAGCCTGGCCCGACCCCGTGCCTGTACTGACCTGCCTCTGCTTACCGAAGGGAAACACTGCTCCTTTATCCCAAACTGGGAATGTTTCTATTGTGATGAACATAAAAATAACACATGATTACTGTAAAAACAGGTAATCCCGGCCAAAGGGAATGAACAAAGGCCCCGGGCTCACATTCTTGGATGTCTTTTTCCACAAGAAAGCCATTAGCCTCCGGCTGAAAAGTCAGGGCAAGAGTGCCCTATTCGGAAGAGGGGAGACATGGGAGACATGGCAACACTGTGGAAGGTTCTAGAACCAGGGAGGTCGCCCTGGAGAGGCTGCTGTGTGCATCTGGCTGTCGCCCCTGGAAGGTCAGTGGGGTCAGAGTGGGGCTCTCTCCACCACACCTCTGCTCGCCCCCACTCCCATCCGCGGGGGCGCCATCCCGTCCCGAGGGCTGGAAGAATGGATGAAACCGGTCCAGAAACGGACACGGAGTGCAAGGAGGACCTGGGTCACGGACACGTCAGGAACCAAAAGTGCCAGAGGCCTGGGGGGGAAATGGCCTGCGACTGCTGCTCGAGTGGGTCCGGGCCACAGAAGCAATGTCCCAGGTCAGGACGGGGCCTCGGACAGAAGCAGGACCAGGGTGGGCCGTTTGGCCCCTACACCGTGACCAGGGGCAGCGTGGCTGGGCACTCACCTCCCTGCGGGAGCCCCCCGACAGCACAGGGGTGGGCGCAGCCCCTCGGCGCCCCTTCTGCTCCCGGCCAGAGGACTTCGGTAGAGGCCCGCCGTCCACGCATCCCGTTATTCCGGGGAACCACAGAAAGACGGGGTTCTCAACCCCACTGTGCAGACGCAAAACCAAGGCCCGAAAGGCACAGCGCCTGGCGGGGTCACGGCGGTCACAGACCGGGAGGCCGGGCCGAAGCCCAGGCTCGGGGTGG